GATCATTGGGGAAATAAATTTCTATGTAACGGAAGATCCGAAACGAGTTAAAAGCGTGTGCGACTTTAGTGGGAGATTAATCAGTATATACTAGTCAATGAACTACACAACAGTTTCTGTTCGTCAAGCTTATTAAGTAGCCCCTCTCCCCAGGGACTTTAGCTTTGCCGCCAAACTAAAGCCAGTGACACTTAAACATGCCCCTAAGACACTGACCAACCATGACTCTGGCATCACTGAAAACTGAGTTCAAAAAGGATGAGAGAGAGAGCCTCTCAGGGGGGAGGACACCTAAATAAAAGTGAACAGGATGCTTGTCAAGAACTTTCAAGAACCGAAAGGATGTACAAGAACCTGCTCAGTGGGTGTGGCTCAAGTTCATATTTCCTTTGCGTCAAACACCTTCCACACATCATGGGTTAACGTTTTAAAGTGTTTTATGATTTCATAATGATTATTACTGCTCAGTCTGAGAAAGGGTGTGACAAGCACCCCTGTGAGTCCAGTGTAAGGAGCTTACCCACTTACATGTATTGACCCACCCATAATTACAGTACAACCTTTAAATTCTAGTTAAATTCTAAATGTAGGTCTAAGGCCCAGGTCAAACATCGACCTCCACATGAGAAAAACTAAACTAACTGAATTAAGTTCATGATAAATTTGATGTATGACTCAACCAAGTTTGTCCGTCTATCCATCCAATTCAGATGGATAGAACATGTTCGCTAATCTAAATTCAAATTAAGCTCGACGTTTGAKCCAACAGTCAAGCTTTACCAGTTTGGATCCACTAAATTCCAATTTAGTTTGTCTCAAGTGAAGTCTGAAACTAGACTCTCCTTTAATACTGATTCACATAATACTAAGTTTCAAGCATTTAGTGCAAGGTAGATCATCAATTGAAAACAATGTCATCATTTATTGCTACTCTGACTTAAATATTTGGTGATTTTGCAGTTGCTCTTGACTCACGTCTGCTGATTATGCCCTCAGTATAGCAAGGAAAAATTAGGATCAATTACAGCAGAACATATTAAGTTAATAATGATTACCGGTATTTCATGTTTTAAAAACATCATATGATTGCGAAAACTTTTTGCTTCAAACTAATTGAAGGCTTTCGTGCAAAAAGAGCGTATATTATATAGCATTTTGAGCCCATTTTTATTTTTTGCAGGATCGAGTTAATTTTTGGCAGACTGACTTGTTTTGACA